CCAGCAAGGATTCCTGCAATTCCCAAGCGTGTGGTGCCCCACACTTCACAGGGCCAGCGTTTGTTGCACCTACTTTCTCAGAGGAAGAAGGCTTTGCACAACCCGACTTTGCAGGATGAGATCCCACGAGGGCGGATGAGAACAGCCCATACTTCTGAGACCCACAGTCTTCAAAAACCTTTATTAAGAAATAAGATGAAATGCTTCCTGTGCTGTGGTAACCCCAAAATAATGGATGAGGAAAACGTGTCCTCTTCAGTCAAGAAAGTGACCCAAACTAGAAAAAACAGTGCCGAAACGATCCTGGCCCAAGTCAAAGACCGTACGGGAGAAGCTAAGACAAATGAGACAACTGGGGACTCCAAGACTCAGTCCTCTCCTACTGAGAGACACGCAGACCTGGCCCTGTTGCATAGTCCCCAGGCCCTGGACAGTCAGCTGCAGCACCAACCTCGTCAGCGCCTCTCTGCCTCTCTCCTGGGCTACTTGCGCTACTGTTTTCGATGCTTTCCTCTAGTGGCTTGTGCCACTCAACAAGGGAACCCAACCTAGGTTCTAACGCTCGCATTGGAAGGAAACGCTGGTGTCTTCAACGAGAAGACTCAGGGCATTCAAATACTTTGTCCTCTGCCAGTAGACTTGGACTGTCATTATTCATTATTGCGTGGATTGGGCAAACCATAGCCCAAGCAGATCTACAAAGAACTACCTGCTTACTCTTTCTTATCTCTTTGTAGTGTGTTAGAGGATTGGGGGGTGGGGGTGGGGGTGGGGACAAGGTTCTTCCCTTTAGATAATAAACTTATAGTTAAATAAAACAAAACAAAACAAAACAAAAAACATTCTGTGGTAGTTAAAGTTGTGTGTCAACTTGGCTGGGCCTGGTTTTGAGTGGCTGGGCAGCTGGATGTAGTTATTCCCTGTGATGAGACTGGTAATCAACTCCATAGTCGAATCTGCTGTGAGCAGCTGAGACGCTGCCTTAGGAATGGGGTCTGCTTCCAGTATATAAGCAGCAGTTTTGAGAGAGGTCTCTGAGCTACTTGCACGCTTGGACTCTGCCTTTATTCAGCAGCCTGCCACATTGACTGCTGGTCTTGGGACTGTTTCTGGACTTGAACTAGTGGCCTACTGTGTTGCTTGATAATCTTAGGACTGTGCTATTTTATTTCTCAACCTTGGGTTTTGCCAGCCTCAGCAGCTTGAATTAAGAGAAGTGTCTAGCTCCTGTGGGCTGGGAGCAAGAGGCAGAGCTGAAACCCAAAGTCTAGGGGCCTTCACCCAGCCCCTAGAGCTGGGCCTTTGAACAGGGAGTTCTAGCCTCCTAAACTGTAAAAGAGTAAATTGCTATTTGTTCAAACCACCCATTTGTGGTATTTTCTGTTAAAGCAGCACTAGAGGACCAATAGACATTCACTCTGGCAACTTATTGTACTTTCAGAGTTCTGGTCAGGAGTTTGTTCTTTTTCCAAGATGCTGTTGGTTATCTTATGTTTTTATTTTAGGGCAGCTAATTTTTGGTTAGAGTTCTAGGTGGTGCAAATTGTTACCAAACCAAACTCACTGCCGTGAAGTTGGTTCTCACTCATAGTAACCCCTCCTTGGGTTTTTTAGGCAGTATCTCTGTGGAAGTAGATTGCCTAGTCTTCCTTCTGAGGAGTGGCTGGTGGGTTTGAACCGCCAGCCTTCTGGTTAGCAGTCACATGCCTTAGGCACTATGCCACCAGAGCTCCTGCAAATCCTTAAGTGCTCAACTTTTAATTGGAAGATTGGTGATTTGAACCCACCAAGAGGCACTTTAGAAGTTTAAATCTGCTTTCAAAAGGTCATAATCTTGAAAACCCTAAGGATCAGTTACACTCTCTGTACATGGGGTTGCCATTACTTGGAATTGACTTGATGGCAACTAACAACAACAACAATTTTTGGTTAAAACAATTAATGATAATTGTAATACAGCTTGAAGTAAAAATGTTAGTAGATTAGTTGGTGAAAGGAATAATCCTTTCTGTTACATGAGTCACTTAATAAATATATAGAAACCAAGTCATGAAATCGTTTACTGGCTAAGAGTGAATAAAATACCACATAATTTCATTAACCTTTAAGCAATGAAATTATATACCTCTGTGCAAATGATTAAGGTTATCATTGCCTATCACCCCCTTTTGATACCTACAGACAGTTAATTCTTCTCTGACCTGCTGAGTCTTATTAAAACTTCTGACTGATGTACTTTTATTAAAAGGTTTAGAATTTACCAATTTAAAACATTTGCTTCACACTATCACCTCTAATTTAACTAGGCCATTAAAGTATTTTGCAGAGGGAAAAAGTCAGTAGCTGTTTCTTTAAAAAAAATAATAAAATGAATTTTAAACTCTGCTTAGAGGTGAGCAACTGCTATATACCACTAGGCCTTTTGATAGTTGCTTTGTTCCTTTAGTATGCAAATTTTAGGTTTACAAAGATCTAGTGCTTTTATTTAAGAAATATGCCTGGAGGCTAGATTGGTAGGCTTTAGGGAGATATCTAGTTTGGTGTGAAATAAATAGTTGTTAAAGGATCACATGAATTGAGTCCCAGAAGATGAAGGGTAGAGCTGAGACAGATTGAGGAAAACTGACTGTACTTCATTTCATTTGGCTAAAAATATCACTGAATTGAAAATGAAGACAATGAATGATGGCAACACAAAGCAAATTAATGGGAATAAGCCATTTATTGTAGATTTTGGGAAAAGTTCTGATTTGTAAGAAGTTGAAAGGAAAATGCTTAGTACCTCCCTTACTGAAGATTGGCTCATTTTCCTATGAAAAGGCCAGCCTCTTGAGAGTTTAACAGCTTTGAGAGGGAAGATTTCCCCCCTGGCAAGGGAGGATGGAATGGGTTACCCACTGGTCAATCAAGTCAGCCACATCACTTCTGGCCAGTGATGACAGATGTCATAGAACACCTTCACATTCCAAAGGAAGAGACTCAGGGCTACTGCATTAGGTTGGAAACTGTAGGTATTTTGGATTGCAAATGCTAAGAAGATAATTTAATAATGAGAGTTTTAGCTTTGGGGGGAAATGTTTTGCATCATTGTTCTTTTGAAATCTCTGACTTCCAAACATTTTTTTTTTTAAAAAGAACTTAAAAAAAGTTAAGAAATATATTTCTATCTTGATAGCTTATAGGATCTTATTACCTGTTTTTAAAATGCATATTTTTGTCTTTTTGGATGTTTTAAGTATTTAGGCTTGCAAATTGGAATGTTTGAACAGCATTATCTAACATTTGAAATGGCCTCTGTGAATGTATATTTTTTGTGCTGTTGGTAGAGAGTCAGTGAGGTGGGGGGCTGAGTGATGATGGTATGTGAAGGTGGGATGCTGGATTCTTTCATTGAAGGTGGGTCTCTAACCTTTTTATCACCAAGGACCCCTTTGTGCATGTGTATGTATGAATATTCAGATTGATATTTTCATCTCTTATATTCAAGATTTTATTTTTGGATTTAATAGTACTTAAGATTTTTTGAATTGGTAAATGTAACTTGGTTAAAATTCAGAAGGTACTGAGGGGTATGAATTTTCTCCTAGACACTCACTTTTATACACACACACACACACAAAAACCACTGTTAACAGTTTTGTATATCCTTCTAGTGATATGGATACAAATATAATCTATGTATTTTATTTATTTATGCATTTTCCAAGGACTTTATTTTTCTGATTTTTTATTGTGATTTGAGTGAAAGTTTACAGAGCAAATTCACTTCCCATACAGTAGTTCACACACACGTTTCTCATGACATTGACTACAATTTACTCCAATGCAACAACTCCCCTCCCACTTCTTCCCGATGGTTACTTCTTCCCAGTGTCCATCCCTCCATGCACTCCTGCCCACTGAGCTATGTCCCTGTGCATAAACTGTCATTCTTTCTCCCATGATTGTTCTCTCCAAGGAGTACATCTACCTCAGATACATGTTCAACTCATACGCCTATCTTTTGTTTGGCTGGAAGCCACAGTGTGGGTTCAATTCCAGACCTGAAGGGCAGCTAGGGACCATAGTCTCAGTGGTTCCACCAGGCTCTATCAGACCAGTAAACCTGGTCCCTGTTTGTTTTTTTTTTATTTTTTCCAAATGATTCTGAGTTTTGTTCCACATTGTTCTCCTTCTCTATCCAGGATCTCCTTCATAGATCCCACTCTGAGTGGTTGACAGTGGTAGCCAGGCACCATCTAATTCCTCTGGTCTCAGTCATATAGGCTGAGGATCTCATGGTGTACCAGTCACGAGGACTAATTGTTTCCATGAATCTTTGGTTTTCTTCATTCTTCTTTGCTCTGGACAAGGAGAGACCCATTGTTGCATCTAGATGGCAGCTTGCAAACTTTTAAGATCCCAGTCGCGACTCGCCAAACTAGGAAGTGGAACAATGTTTTGTGTAGTATGTTATGCCAATTGCGCTTGATGTCCCCTGTGACTGTGGTCCCGAGCCCACAGGTTCAACTACTTGCTCCCTCTGGGTAGCAGGCTGTGACAAAAAGTGACTACAACTTGTCCCTTGTCAGCTCTACTAAACCTTTGGGAATTCTTACAGAACATACAAATACACTTGTAGAACCATTGTCTGCCAACCCTATGTGTGGTCTTGGATACACGCCCTGCTGCATAGACATACCTAATAGTTGAGCCTGCCCACCCATCTATCCCCCCATATACCCGTGTTTGCCTTCACTGACAACGCAGTACTGTATGTTCAAATGCGTTCATCTTTATTGTCGTCACCTCCCATGTACCTCTCTATGTCTTCCTCTTCCTCCACACCATGATGTTGATCACTCACATTTGGTACATTGCCCTTCTCTTCACCCAAATCAATACTTATCTCTGCCTATCAAACAGTGTTCCCTCCCTTCCCCTCCCACCTTTGGACACCAACAAAGAAACTTTCCTTCCAAATGTAAACCGTTCCTTGACTTTTACAATAACAGACTAATAAAATATTTGTCCTTCTGTGATTGATTTATTTCACTCAGCATAATGTCCTCCAAGTTCATCTACGTTATGCGGTGTTCTGCAGATTGTAGGTTATTCTTTAGGGTTGCATAGTATTCCATTGTGTGTATGTACCATAGTTTGTTTATACATTCTTCAGTTGATGCACACCTAGGTTGTTTCTATCTTTTGGCTATTGTAAATAGTGCTGCGATGAACATGGATGTGCATATGTCTGTTCTTGTCCTGGCTCTCACTTCTTTCCATTCCTTGTAATGGAATGGCTGCATCAAATGGTATTTCTATTTCCAACTTTTTAAGAAACCACCATACTGCTTTCCACAGTGGTTGTACCATTTTACAGTCCCACCAGTAATGTAGGAGAGTCCTAATCTCTCTGCATCCTCGCCAGCGTTTGTTATTTTTCTGTCTTGTTGAACTTTGCTACTAGTGCTGGGGCATGATGGTATGTCATTCTTGTTTCGAGCTGTATCTCTCTAATGGCTAATGATTGTGAGCATTTTTTCATGTTTGTTGGCTGCCTGAATATCCTC